GTTCAGGAAGAGGAAGCATGACAACTTCCCGCATAACCAAAGAAGAGAGGGGAAGGATGTTAATTCATCTTCTCCCGTGATGTTGGCCTTCAAATGTAAGTTCTCCATGTCATTTGGCTGAGGGGGAGAGCTGAAGGCTGTAACAATTACATAGCCATGTTGTGCACAAGAAGACAATCTGTAAGAATTGAGGAACCTTATATTCTTGGATATTTTGTGAATGCTAATCTACACTGAAAGCCTAGGTTGCAAAGATCTTAACCTTTATGTCTTCTTAAGGTAAACATTAACATTAGCAAACAGGAACCCACTATTCATGCAGATAGCATTTAAATGTTATTTTATTTTTTTTACCGGGGATCGAATTCAGGACCTTGCAGTTGCCAAGCAGATGCTTATGGTGCTGAGCTATCTCCTTGGCAGAGTGTTAGTTAATACTGGACATTCTGTGTATTTAAATTTTGTCCTGTATCTCATATTGTCTCATCTATCCTTTACTGACATACATATTTATATTTAGGGTATATTAGTTTTGTTAAAAGACTTGGCATTGCACTTTGCACAGACTTGAAACTCTTATTAATAAATCTAACACATATTTGCATATGTATCTTCATAGTCCCTATTTTCACAGCCAATGGAATTGATGACTTTTTTCCTTCTCAAAACCAGGAGGTGGTGTGTACCTGGTGGAATCTCAGCCCTTGGGAGGCCAAGGCAGGAGAATCACTGTCAGTTCAAAGTCAGTCTGAGCTACATAGTGAAACTATCTCAGAAAATGGAAACAAGCAAACAAAAAACCCCCAAAAAACAACCCAACATACTAAGCTCCCCAGTGCCCAAACATAGTCCTCTCCACCTCAGTCTTCTATCCTGTATCTGTGCTTCAGTGAATAGGGAGGTGCTTGGTTTTGACTTGGAGTCATCTGAAAGTTGGGTTGTGGAGGAGGTACCCCAGCCATTGATTGACAGTTTAGACGTTCTGCTTGCAACCATCTCTGCTCTCTTTCCACGGTGCTGCTTGATTGTCCTTGTGTTTTTTCCCTGTTGGGAAAAAACCACAGGCTCCTTGCGTGCTGAGCTCAGACACTTGATACAGTCTATTTTCCCACACTACCAGTAGTTGCAAGCAAGGCAGTTTAAAACCTGCTTCATTCAAGAGCAAGGGAATTTGTTTCCATTTTTGAAATGAGTGAGTCTCATACAATTTGTGGATATATTTTAAAACCAGCACAGTACCCACAAATGATCTTCATAGGTATTAGAAAACTAGCTGTAACTGAACAGTGGACATTTTCATATGCTGTGTACAGTACTGAAGAACTACCGTTTGGGTATTCCCCACCCTTAACGCTCACCCTATCAAGAGCTACTTGTTCCCAGATTATTTTGCTGTTTCATGTTACTATTTGACTGTGAGTGCAAAGTTCTTTCACTTCTGAGTTCCTTCCAATTTAACATACCTAATACCTGTTTGGTGGACCACACTTTTCTTCAAAGCTCAGCTTAGGTGGCTTTTTGTGATAAACTTTAAATTGATTTGTTATTCACCTATTTGTTTTCAGCCTCCCAAGTGCTGGGATTACAGGCATGCGCCACCACGCCCAGTCTTGCATGGTTACATTTTGTTTATATCTGTCTCATACTGAACTGAGCTCCTTCAGGATAGGAATTATACATTATCTAATTTTTATGTTACCTAACAGAGCTCACTAAATATTTAAAATAAACAATATGTGTGTATTATCTTGAAACACTAGACAAAATCCTGGCCTAATTATTGTCTCAGAAAGGAAAGATCAGATATATTGAGGTCTTTGCCCACATAATAATTTGGCTAGTAGTAATGCAGAATACATCTATTGTGTTCCTACAAGGGAGGCAGAATCCTTGGCTTTAAAGTGAAAATTCTTCTGCAGTAAGAGTCACTAAGAGAGTTAAGTGGCTTATAAGCATTTCAACAACTAGGGCTTGAGAATTCAGAACATTAATGCTTGAAGTTTGCTACATGAGTAGATGTTAAATGTTCTCAATTACAGAATAAAGGTAACTGAGGCGATGAATATATTAATTAGCTTGATAATGTTCACAAAATGTATATATAGGGAGTTTGCTAAGAAAGTATGCACACTTTAGGAAAAGAAAAATGTGTATAACTATTTTAATAATTGAGACATGAGATTAGTGTAAGTTACATTGGCCTATGATTTATAATGATAAGAAACACTCAAAATGGTGGTCATTAGCTTCCAGACATTTATTATTACAGTAATAGACTGTTGCTTGGGTAGCCTTGGTCCATTGAGAGTGTTGCACATGCATTTTCAGTTTCTTCTCTAAGTGCCAGTGGTGTAGTTGTTTTTTGTGATACATGACATCCTGTAGGGGGATATGAGGGCAACATCATTTTTTGTCAAAACATACTACTTTTTCTTTAACTGAAGTGTGTGTGTGTGTGTGAGAGAGAGAGAGAGAGAGAGAGAGAGAGAGAGAGAGAGAGTGTGTATATGTATGTGTTTTGGTGAACTCTATATTGAAACAGCATATATTTTAATTAATTATTGAGACAGGGTCTCACTACTTAATTCAGGTTGGTCTTGAACTCACTGTGTGTTTTCTATTTTAGTTTTTTTGAGATGAGCTCTCACTAATTCAGGCTGGCCTTGAGCTCACCATCTAGCCCAGGCTAGCCTTGAACTCGAGGCGGTCCTTCTGCTTCTGCCTCCCAACTGCTGGGATTACAGATATGCACCACTATGTCTGGCAATTTCTATGCATAAATGCTAAACCATTAAGGATACTGTGTAAGCTAGGGAGATATCAAGGCCTACCTTTAACCTTTTCTTTGAAACTTAGTTTTCAACTATTCCCTGTTCTCCTCTTTGATTTCTGACTTCTTTGACTCTGTTTTCAGCTAACCTATTCCTAGCCTCATTAAAGTTTTTTATTGTTGTCTTATGGTACTGGGAATCAAACTTGCTGCATGTTACATGCCCTGCCCTTTTTATTTTTTAAATCTTGAAATAGGATTGTCATATGTTGCCTATGTTGGGCTCAAACTGGAAAGCCTTTTGCCTCAGCCTCCTAAGTATCTGGGAGCGTAGGCATGTGCCAGTGTACTGGGCCTTGCTAAAATTTTGGTGTTTTTTACTGTTCATTTTCAGACAAACTGCTACAACTTTGTATTGATTAGAGAATATTCTATGATCTAGTCCTCTAGTTATAAGAAAGCTAACTCATGGTGTGATTATACATTTTTAATTTGTTTTTCCTCTGTACTGTTAAAATAGTTCAGTGTTTGTTAAGCATTTAACAGTTATGTATGCAATACTATATTACTAAGCAGTAAAACAATGTGTTCTGGTTATATATTATCACTACATGGACTAGATTGTTACTGAATATTTAGGAAGTGGGATAGTTGCAATTTTTAGCTTTCTAAAAATCTGAGATAAAATTTGCACATTTACTTAAAGAGCTTTTAATATTCACTTTAAACAGTAGTGCTACTATAATGTAATTTACAAATATTCTACAACCCACTAAGTATTCAGGAATCCTGTGTTTCTGGGTATATCGTTGGCATTTATAGAAAACTAGTAGAGGACAGTGTTCAGTTTTCTGTGCTTTGAGAATTCGTGTCAGGACCACCTGTTCTCCTTTGTTCTGCCTTAAAATGAGGCAGCTGACTGCAGCCATTGTTTGCACTCACCTTGAGCTGAGTGGTCTTCATCTTCTGTGATGGGTATGGAATGCAGGCTGTGCGCAAAGCCATGGTAATGTGTGCTTAGCCTTCCAGCAGGAGCTGGATGCGAGACATGACAAATACGAGAGGCTTGTGAAGCTCAGCCGGGATATAACTGTGGAAAGTAAAAGGACAATTTTTCTCCTCCATAGGATTACAAGGTGAGTACACATCTTCAGCATTTGCCACATATTTTATAAAAATAAGAGGAAGAAATTCCTATTTTTAGAGTAGCTAAGGATTTTATGTTTGGAAAAATATTAAGATTTGGATGATTTATTAGAGCCTATTAAAGTCTTATTAGGGTGATATATGTGAAAAATTTAATATTAGATAAATATTAAATCTGGTTAACTTGTTCATTTTTCAAGTCATTGTGTTCTTTCTGCCTCTTAATTTTTTTTTTTTTTTTTTTAAATGTATGTAGTACAAGGTCTACAGGGTCCTGTTTTCAGCCTCCCAAGTGCTGGGGTTCCAGGCACGTGCCACCATGTCCAGTCCCAATCGTAGTCTCAGTGAGCCCCATGGGCAGGGCCGCCGCTGCACATGGGGGACTGAGCCAAGGCCGCTGTGCTGTGCCTTAAGCAGGCCCTTTAGTTTGCTGGGCTATCTGGCCCGCCCTATTTTTTGTTCTTTTTGAGACAAGGTCTTGCTGTGTAGTTCAGGCTAGCCTTGAATGATTCTCCTGACTCAGCCTTCTGAGTGCTGGGATTATAGGTGTGCACCACCATGTTTGGTTTGCCTCTTTATTGAAATTGTGTTACTTTTTCATATAATTAATCTTGTACACACACTGTTTTTTTTTTTTCCCAGTAGTGGGGATTAAACTCAGGACCTTGTGATTGTCGGGCAGGCACTTATACCATTGAGCTTTATCCCCTTCAGCAGTACTGTTAACTACATAATTCCTCTAGAAGTTGTTGTTCTTTCATCTCTCTGACATTCTTTTCTTTGTAGTTTTTCTTGCTAGTACTAGACTTATCTTGTTTTTTCAGGCAGGCTGTCCTTATTTGATAGATGGTTTTAACTATAAGTAAAATTACTTTAAACTGCAAAAGCAGAGCAGGGAAATGAATTATAGAGATTATGATAGAGATTTAAGCATATCTTGTGAGTAGAACTGTGTTTGGTATTTTATGGTTACCTGTTTCTTTGCTTTGTGCTTACATTTCATGTGACTAGTTCCTATTGCTTCTTTATTCTCTGTGGGAAGGAAGATGTTTGTCCTACAACTTTCCAGCCTACTTGTCTAGGTCTTGCTCCTAATGAGATTCTCATTACAAATTCCAGATGCCTTTAGAGATGTAGTTATGGTTGGCTTTGCACCGTTTTTTGTTCAGTAACTTAAAACTTTTGTTTGTTTTTGGTTTTTCTGAGTCAGAGTCTTAATCCATGTATCAGACCTTGAATTCACTATACAGCCCAGGCTTGCCTTGAACTTGGTTGAGAGATCTTTCTGTTTCAGTCTCCTGACTGCTGGGATTATTGACATGTGTCACCACTACTGGCCTAAGACTTGTTTTTTGGTGCTGGCAATCGACCCCAGGGCCTTGCACATGGTAGGCCAGTACTCCACCATGAACTACAGTGGTACCTCGGTTCATGGACTTAATTCTTTCCATGATTCTGATTGCAAACTGAATTGGACAAGAACTGACTCAAATTCAGTGGTTAGGTTCAATGTTGACCTTATGAGGAAATTTTATTTGCTTCTTGTCCAATTCAGTTTGCTACCAGAATTGTGGAAAGAATGAAGTTCGTGAACCAAGGTAAATACCACTGTATACCTCTAGATTTAACTTAAAATATTTCAGATAATTTTCTAATTAATGCTTTAATTTTATTTCATTTGAGTGGAAGCAATTTGCCATACATAAATTGGAATGTGATACTCGTTAACTATTTTTTTGGCAGAATTTTTTATCTAGTTCTTTTTTTAATTTAAAAACATTTTAATAGTGGGTATTTGTAGTATATAATGATTGCATTCATCATGGAAACTGGTACATGCACATCACAAATTATAATTCTTTTACTCCTTCTTTCCTTCCTTCCCATTCCCTCCATCTCTTGGTTTAACCTTTTTCTTTTTTTAACCTGTGTAATACTAGTTTTTGCTTCTTTTTTCTTTTCCTTTGTTTTTCTCCCTCTCTCCTTTTCTTCCTTCCCCTTTCCCTCTTTCTTTTGAGATGGAGTCTTGCTGTGTAGCCTAAACTGGCCTTAAACCCTTTGTAGCCCAGGCTGGCTTTAAACTTGCAATCATCTGGCCTGAGCCTCGTGAATACTGGAATCACAGGCTTGTGCTACTAAGCCTGGCCCAACTATCTTTCTGATAATTTCTAATTTATTTTCATTATGGTCAGAGAACATACAATATTCTTTGAATCTGATTTAAATTTACTGATATGTATTTCACTGGTATATGTATAGTTGATTTTTTTCCCGTTTTTCAGGTGTATTTTATTATCATTCATCAAATATCTGTGTATAATATCCCAGGTAAAATCAGGGAATTCGGCCATACAACTGGGGATCCCTCAGAGATCCACAGACCTGTGGCATCTGTGAGAGTGCCTGGGTTCCTGGTGTAGTTTGTGGTTAGTGTCCCTGTTTTAGGTGGTTCTTCCTCCACATGACTGGGTGGGTCTTAGAATCTTCTAGGCTCTTTTCATTCTGCTCTTCTGGCCCAGTGGTCTCTTTGGTTGCCACAGTATTCTCTTCTATCTCCCTCCTCTTCAGCTTGGCCTTACCTAACCTGGTGATTTCCTCCACATTTGGCTTGTCTGCTATTTTCTTAAAACAGTGTGTTGCTGGTGATGACTTAGCTGTCTCTGGTTCTGTGAACTATAGGAGTTTCTCTGCCTTCCAGCTTGGGTAGGCTCTTTTTCCTGTCTGTTATCTCACATACCTGCTGCAGTGATCATATGCAGCCAAAGACCAGAAGGAATCTTGGGTAAAACTCTGATGTGCATTTTATGTTGCTTTTTCCCCACTGTTACTCTGCCTGGCAGGTTTAGCAGTTTGACCACTTTAAAACTCCCAAGTCCTTCTTTTTACCTAAGGGAGACTTCAGGTTCCACCTAAGTTTTTTGTCCTTACACCTTCTCTTGGGAATGTTGAGCAATGAGATTAAGTAGTAGGATGTATGCTCCCTTCTCCCATCACTGTTCATACAGCCTTAATCTAGGGTCTGAAGCCATTGTTTTGTCTACTTATTTTATCTGTCTAGTTTAAATCTATTCCATGTTACTCTATCCTGACTGAAATAGATATTTAGAGATAACATTTTAATTGTGATCGCTCTCTATATACGTTTTTTAGGTACTTTTTTCACTTAACAGTGTGCTATAGCATTTTCCATGTGTTTGCATACTGTTAATAAAATACAATTGTAGAGATGAGGTAGAAGCATTCAAATACAGATACTTAGTCCTATATAGTTAGATTATTTAAATTTTTCATTGTCAGAGCATCTGCCTGATGCCTTAAATATTCCCAATGTCTTGATTGTAGTGCACCTGATATGGAAGAAATATTGACCGAATCAGAAATTAAATTGGATGGCGTCAGACAAAAAATATTACAGGTAGCCCAAGAGCTGTCAGGAGAAGACATGCATCAGTTCCACCGAGCCATTACGACGGGTAAGTCTACGTTCACGAGTGTATTTTTAGGAAATTATGTGATGTGCTATTTGACTTATATCTAAGTGGCATGAGTTTTAACTGGTATCTGGCAAAATATGATTGGTTTTAAAAAGTGGGGCTTTAGGTAATGTCAAGGCAATCTGTAACATTTGTCTTTATTTTTCTTACAATGTATATTTATTGGTGGATTTTAATAAAGTAATAAAGTAACAGATTGAACTTTTGACAAGGAACATCTCCTTTCTAACTGTAGGTAAATTGAATTGGTGGCTTTAAATTTTACATTTTGCTAGGTTTGTGAACAAGAAGGTGTCACCTAGCCAGAAGAACTCAAATGACTCAGTGTAACTACATTCTATTAATACTGGATTGCATGTTATTTGTTTAAAAAGATTTAGGAAGCACTGGATCTTGGGGGTTTTTGTGTGTGTGTGTGTGTGTGTGTGTGTGTGTGTGTGGTTTTCAGGTGCAAAATTCTTGGTTCTTCCCTCTTGAGCTTCTTTTTTTTGAGACAGTCTCACTAAGTAGTTTTATTTTTTAAGTTTTTTATTTTTTTGCGATACCAGGGATTGAACTCAGAACTTTGTGCTTGCCAGGCAAGCACTTATTCCACCGAGCTATCTCCCTGGTCCTCACTAAGTAGTTTAGGTTGGTCTTGAACTTACTGTGTAGCCCAGGCTGACCTCGAACTTGCAGCAATCCTCCTGCCTCAGCCTCTTGAGTCCTGGGACTACAGGTGATTCTTGGTCTTTTTTTTTTTTTTTTTTTTTTTAAACACAAGCTCATGAGCAAGAGAGAGGCTATATAATTCAGATTAACCCTAAGATTTGCAGGAAGAATGGAACTACTTTATACTCAATATATATGTTCAATTTTGATTTAAATTCTTTCATTTTCTTTCCTTTTTTTTTTTTTTTTTTTTTTTTTTTTTTGTATTTTAGGGAAGGGTCTATAGGTTGTTCAGGGTCTCATTACAAGATCGGACTCAGTGATCCGCCTGTTTACAGCCTTCCAAGAGCTGGGATTACAGGCGCATGCCACCATGCCCAGTCTCAAACAATTTTGGTTTAAATTCTTAAAATATCAACACTTGTTTTTTGGAATTACTGAAATGTCTGTCAGTATTGGTAAGAGGAGATACCAACATAGGTGTTAAAGCACAAGTGTGTTATTATAGACTGAAGTAGTAACACTTTCATTATGTTGTCACAGTCCCATTACAATAATTCATTATTTTCAGGTTTTTATGTTTTATAAAAAAATAGCACATGAAAAAAAAAAATAGCACACGGACTGGGGAGACAGCTCAGTAGAATACGTGCTTGCCTTATTTAGCACAGGGTCCTGAGTTCAATTCCCGGTACCGCAAAAAAAAAAAAAAAACACCCAAAAAAAAAACAACAAAAAAGCACACAGTAACAAACATTATTATTATTATTATTATTATTATTATTATTATTATTGTTAGTAGTAGTAGTAGCAGCGGAACTGGGGATTGAACTCAGTCCCTTGCGCTTGCCAGGGAAGCACTTACTCTACTGAGCCATCTAGTATGTACTGTCAAATGGTACAACTTCAGACATGACAGATTTGGCCAGGATGTGGAAAAGACCAGATGTATAGAGGAAAGAAGGGTGAGCTGAAATCTAAATCACGCTTTTGGAAGATCTATGGAAATATCTTCATCTTGTCTTTTGTGGTAGAAAGATTTCTTTAAAATGACAGAATATATTAATTGTTAAAGGAAAGATGGATCTTTTGAGTATTGTTAAAATTTAATTGTTTCTGAAAAGACTATATTAAAAAAAGCTATAATGTGAGAGAAGACATTTAAAATATTAGGTAAGGAACTCCTACAAGTCAGTAAAGACAATTTTTAAAATGAACAAAATTTGAGCAAGGGCTTTAAAAACAAGTATTATAATGGCTCATATGTAGATGTGCTTAGTGTTATCACTTATATGTATTACACCAGGTAGAACCACGATTAGCTACCATTCACTCAACAGCATGGTTAAATTATATCACAAGGGCTGGGGAGACAGCTCATGGCATAAGTGCCTGCCTGGCAAGTGCAAGGTTCTGAGTTTGATTCCCTGTACCAAAAACAAAAACACCTCCAAACCGTATGACTGACAGGAGCAATTTGAAAAGTTTGGCTGAATGTGTGCCTGCTCTGTGAATATACACTGGAGAGTAAAGCTAATGTCACCAGAGGACATGATTAAGTAAGCACATAGCAGCTATAATCATAAGTTTAAAACTAAGTAGTGACCAGACCATTAGCAAGAGAGTGGATAGGTAAATTGTACAGATGTATAGTGTAATACCCATGGCAGAAATGCGACGCTGAGTAGGAGATTTACTGACATCTTGGGTGAAATAAACAGACACAAAAGACATATTCTGTCATTGTATGTATGTGACATCCAAGGGCAGACAGACCTGGGAAGATGGAGGAAGGAGAATGATGACCTCGAAGCAGAGCAGAGGATGGGAGTTATTGACTCTACTGAAAACCCTTTCTTAGTGACAAGTTCTGTACATGCTGTTTGACCTCCTGTGATTTGTGTATTATTTTCCTGGTGAGTGGGGCCATGGAAAGAGGAAAGCTGGGACTCTGCTCTTAGGTTCATGGGAGTCCAGAGTGGCATCACTAAGTTATAGGTGTGTGTAGGTCTTTTCATGGGTACAGATCAGGAGCAATTGTGTTTATCGGTTGTCTGTACATGGACAGTGTGCCGTCATGAGGAAACTCTGAACTGCCTCTGTTGCTCCCTTCCTTATAGCTGGAACTATCGTGGTAACCATATTGAAGATAGGCCAATTGCAGGAAAATCGTTATTTGACACAGTGGTGTTCCGTACGACTTAGGGGTGCCAGTATACTCTTGAGCCCCCTGGGTAATGGAGTTGGTAGGGAGGAGTAAGCTGGATTTTCCAGTTTCTACAAAGTCCTTGCTTTGGAGAAGCAGTTGTAGTCTTACTACATTGTTGTGAACAGAAACCCTGTTTGCAGCCTCTTTATACTAGCTTGTAAACTTGAATGACTAAAGGCAGGAGATTGAGTATCTTCTCTACTCTTCATTCTTTTTTCCTATCACATCATGCATAAGCCTGTTTTGCAAAGATTCATGGCAGTATAGTAAAAGCTAATCACAATTTTCATTCAATTTTAATTTGTGCTTAGAACTTTTGCATCTTTATAAAAATGAACATATTCTACTCCATGTAGGTGTTTTATGTGTGAAAAGTGATGTATTTTTCATGTTTGGATTAAGCATCTCATTTCCTTATAGTTTATGTTTATGCTTTAATAGTTTTGATGACTTAGGTTCCCCAGGTATCTAGTAGAACTTTCTGGATTTATGGTATCTAGTAAAGGAGCCTTCATGATGTTCTTCATTCATTAAGTATAAGGAAAGAGTTTTCATGAGGGCAACTATGATGTAGAAAATAATATCAAAAGAAACCTAAGCAGCTGTTGGATAAAGTAGATAAGACTTTTGAAAGACTTTCTGGGGGTCCTGCCCCTTAGCTCAGTTCTTTAAGTGGCTGCTTCAACAAAGCAGTCAGGCTCAGGTTGCTGTGGTTCGATTCCCACAACTCAAGCCAGCCAAGCCTGCCCTGAAGGCATTCGGAGCAAAAAAAAAAAAAAAATCCTGCCTTTTTGGGCCGGGGAGATGGCTCAGTGGAATAAGCGCTTCCCTGGCAAGCGCAAGGGCCTGAGTTCAATCCCCGGTTCTGCAAAAAGAAAGAAAGAAAGAAAGACTTTCTGAACAGAACTCCAGTGACACAGGAAATAGCACTGAGAATCAAAAATGAGATCATATTAAATTAAAAAGTTTCTGCACAGCAGAGAAAACAGGCAACAGAGTGAAAGATAACCTATAGAATGGTTAAAAAAACCATATACATTGTCATCTGTTTGTCACAGGAGTAGTATCTAGACTGTGTAAAGAAGTAAATGAAATGAATAGACACTTCTCAAAAGTACAAATGGCCAATAAATACATGAAAAATGTTCAGCATTGCAGGCCATTAAAGAAGTGCAAATTAAAAGCACACTGAGGTACCGTCTTACCCTAGAAAGAATGGTTATCATCAGAAAATCTAATAACAAATGCTAACTAGGATGTGGGGAAAAAAGGAACTCTTATGTCGCTGATAGAAATATAAACTAGTAAAATTATTTTGGAAATCAGTGTGGAGATTCTTCAAAAGACTAAAACTAAAAATTTCATTTGACCAGCTATTCCCCTCCTAGGAATCTTCCCAAAAGAGTTAAACTAGCTGAGCATGGTGGTACATGCCTGCAATCCCAGCACTTGGAGGCTGAGGCAGGAAGGTCCTGAGTGTTGGGATTACAGGTGTGCCCCACTCGTGGCTCCCTTTTAAAATCATGATACACAGTGTATTAAATATTATTCTCTATTTTGTTATGAGATTTTAATTTTTCCATAGGCTTTTAATATTTTATTAATATCTACTTGTATTACATTAAAATAAAAAAGATGAAGCCTCAGCAGCTATACAGATAGTGATTTTGTACATTGTCTGTGGTGTTTCTTATATCAGGAAGGAAACTGCTCTTGGAAGGAGTTTAGATGGGGCGTGAGTGACATGGGTGTGGTGTCTCTGCAGGTTCCCGCTTCAACATGTTCTTGAGAATTAGAAGCATCAGAGTTTGTTTTAGGTCCTTATTGTGGTTCCCTTGAGGATAACCCACTCATAAGATTTATAAAATTAAAAATTGCCAATATGTCACTTTTCTATAAAAACAAAGTCTTTAAAATGAAGTTCTTTGAACTGAAGCAATAAAGATTTTTCCCCCTTAGGTTAAGATGTAAAGCAGTCAAATGAAGATATCTGGGACCTAAAAATTTGTGGATAGATATTTTATTTGATAAAATAAGGCTATTTATAATTAGAGTAGCATTAACAATAGAATGCTTATGAATAGCCTGCTGCTTGTAATTGTTAAGTGCTTATTTTGGT